CCTATTGCCAAACTTACTCTTATCTTGCCAGATGAAGTGAATGAAATACAACACGTAGCTTTTGACCGCCAACCAAATGTGACGAATGAAGGTATGTCTTTTTCCTATTTATCATATATAAGATTATTTTCATTGAAAGTGTTGATTGACTTGTGTTAGTTCAAAAATCATAACATTAGTCTGTTATCCAATATAGAATAAAAATATATAATATGAAAAGATCTTACTAATCTTCAACGTCAAATCCTTTCAAAACCTTTTGCTGATAGAATATTATATAGTATAGATATATGAAATTTAGTAGTAATGATATGCATAAGAATTGTGATTGAAAAGCGGATAAGTTTTTTGGCATGATTATTTTCGGCTAGAATGCTAAGAATTATATAACAACTAAGTAAAACATAGCTTAGTTTATAAAGTTTTAGATACTTTTTTTTTGAAATATTTATTTGATTCTGAACATAGAGTTATATCAATATCGATGGTAATTTTCTTATCTTATAGTAATCTAATTATAGCATCATCAACTATGTTTTTGTAAACACCAATTAAAACATCAACATATTTTAGTACCGCTAACTTATTTTTTAATTAAGATTAGACACTGTTCAAGTGCAAATCGCTTCTTTACACTATAGTTTGACGCTTTTTAGGCAAATCTATATTTATAATTCTAAATAAAACTAACCATTTTTTAGTAAAATATTTTTAAATGTATGGTGTTGAATATAAGAATATGATCAATAGAAAAGTATTCGATGTTTCGATAACTTAAGTGTCATACATGAGAAAGCGAAAATCAACATCTGTAACATAACATTAACATTTAATTTATTGTTTTTCTTTCACTTTATTTAGTTATACGAAAATGAATTAAAAGTAGATTTTACTTAGAATTATTATCAGTCTTAAAATTAATTTTGCGTTTATACACTGGAAAATTATCTATCTTAAACTACGGGACATTTTTCTGACAATTTTTATTTGAAAAGGTGTACATATGAAGAAAGTATAGGTCACGGAATTAATTATAAAGAGATATTAAGACATTATAAAATATTTAGTAAATGTTTTATTCTAGAATACAAAAGTGATATCTTGCATAAAAATTCGTAAAAATCTCAATTTTAAAAAACAAACATTTTCTTTTGTTGTTTGACTTTCTGAGACAAAACATTAAATTTATCATCTTAAGATGCTTGGAAAACTCTAGCTTTCAGTCATATTTATGATTCTTCTACAGTCGAACATACCTACGTTTCTGGTTAGTATTTTTACGATAGAACATCGTCGAAACATGAAAGGTAAAAAACGCAGGATGAAATTTTGTGTGTAGTCTTTTACTTTTTTAGTTTGTAAATAAAATGCTCATTATATATTCTGTAGAAATTCTCACGATTGATCTTTTAAAGAAAATCTGTGTTCATGTTGAATATAATAAAGTTACATTAGCAATGCATGAAATTAAAACTTAAAACTTATCATAGATTCATATGTGAAGTTTTCATGCTTTTGGCTGTTAGAGAATATCTAGGAGAGATCATGAATATTTGAAACGGTAATATCAATTGAATCATTTAATTAAATAAAGAGAGCAACAGAATAATGAACTACATGAATTCTAAAAATACATCTGTTGATCGGTGAACCTAGTTCGATTTCAATGAGTTTCTTTATTATAGCACCAGCATCATATGCACAAGCTCGTATATGGCTTGATGAGAGAATTCGATTCGATCCAGACAAGCCTCAAACAGCAATCTATAATATGCCTTTTGTTTATCGTCTCCAACCAGGCCATATATTATCGAGTAAACGACTGCGTCATGCTCTTAATCTTGCTGTTAACAAACATCCCTCACTTCATACATCACTTTATTTTGACATTGAAAAAAATCTACTTATGCAACGAATTATTACTCATGATGATAAAAATAATAATAATAATAATAATAATATATTTTCAATCATCGAATCTACTTATGAAACAGATGAACAACTCAATGAGATTTTACACGATGAGAGACGTAATCCTCATCTTTTTGATCTTGCTCATGGTCTTGTCTTTCGATGTCATCTTGTTTATTACAAACAAATCTCTTCAAATCATCTTCTTTTTCACAAAGATCTACTTATCTTCAACTTTCATCATGCTTTGTTTGACTTTCCATCGATGGAAGTATTTCTCAATGATCTTAACCAAGCATACAAAACAGGTCAATTATTATATGATGACGACACTAATCTTCGTTATCTTGATTGTAAATATAAATACTACTTCTGCTTTTCTCCTTTCTAATACCTTATCTTCTTCACTTATGTAGATGCTGTTATTGAACAACAAATGTCAATGACTGGTGCAAGTATGTTTTGGCTTGATATTCTTCATGACTGTAAACTCGATCAGTCTTTGTCATTACCATTTGATCGATATCGTCTCTCAAATGAACATCGAACTGGTCGTGGAACATCTATTTCTTTTGATTTTGGCCAAGATCTCTCACATGATTTTCTTATTCATGCAACATCAAATAACATATCACTTGAACAACTTGCACTTGCTACTTATTATGTGTTTTTATTCAAATTAACGAATGAAGAAACAGATTTATGCATTGGAATAAATACACTTGGCCGATATAGATATGAGCTTAACTCTATCATCGGAATGTTTGTGAATGCTATACCTTTGCGATGTCAACTCGATCCTCATTTATCATTTCATAAACTTACTAAGCAAGTTGAAGATACGATGATAAATATTATGAAATATTCATATTTTCCTCTTCAACATATTCTCAATCAACATCCAAATATATCAAATCCTGTATTTCTTGATACATCATTTGACTTTGTATCATCTATGAGAAGAGTTGAGGAGAATGAAATAATGATTGGTGATAGTCGACTTTCTTTACTACCTTTTTCAATTAAGATTAGTGAAGATGAAATAATGAGTAAGTTTGATTTTATACTAAGTTTTCAACATGATCTGAACCTAAATGAATTCTCATGTACAATCAATGCATCGCTTGATTTATTTAATGCTGAAACAGTTTGTATAACTGGACAGAGATTACAGACAATGTTACATCAACAATTCACCTCTTTTAACTGTACAACAAACAAACCGATCTATGAATTATCATTTATATTACCAAATGAACAATATCTGATGCAATCATTGAATAATACACAAATATCATTTCCGTCTCCTGCTACTTGTATTCATCATGAA